CCCGGCACTGTCATTCCTTATAATTCCGCGTAAGCGTGAGGAATTTTGCAAATGTTTCTATAATCGCATGTGACAGCAGCACAAGAAATGTGACCCACAGTAAGAGGGGAATAATTATTTTTGTATCTGAAGGGCTCTGAAAAGCAGTATCTACATATATACCAAATGAGCTTTCCTAGATAAATCATCCAAAGCTCATGGAATCTGATATATTGACAGCTCCACAGGTTGACTTCTTTTATTCTCTAGGGAGATATGAGTAAAGACTTCCAGAACTGAAGTTTTCTTGCCACTATGACCTTACCCTACTCAGGAGTAACCACTTTTATGCCACAGAAAGCCAGTACATTCTTAGAATCATAAAATGGTTTGGGTTGAAAGGGACCTTAAAGATCATTCCAACCCCCCTGCCATGGCGAGGGACACCTTCCACTACATCAGGTCTCAACCAACCTGGCTTTGAACACCTCCAGGGATGGGGCAACCACAAGTTCTCTGGGCAACCTGTTCCAGTGTTTCACCACCCTCACTGTAAAAAATTTCTTCATATATCTAATCTAAATCTACTCTCTTTCAGTTTAAAGCCATTGCCCTTTGTCCTATCACTACACACCCTTGTGAAAAGTCCTTCTCCAGTTATCTTGTAGACCCCCTTTAGGTACTGGAAGGCTGCTAGAAGGTGCCCCCGGAGCCTTCTCTTCTCCAGGACCTTCAGTTTTCAGCCTCTCTGATGAGACTGCTGTCTCACATGAGTCAAATATAAAGAAATTATGCCTAACGTGGAGATTTATCCAGTATAATCCTCTGCTGGAGCGGACATGAAGCACAAAAAGTTTCACCTGTGCTGCTGAGTGCTGGATGTGACTCAGCGTGGTGCTTCAGCAGCCCCCTCCTCTCCCCAGCACCGCAACTCACCTTCCCTGGGACGACACCACTTGAGATGCGTGCAAAATACTGGGGCAACTAAGCCCCCTCTTTTCACCACGGTCAGGCCTTGAATGCCTGTCACCAAAGTATTTGTCTCAACTCTACTAACTGTAGGCAAGGCTGGAAAGGGAGCTCAGAGCCCTCCTGCCCTTCCCAGCAAGCCTCTGCTTAGAGAGCACAGGAGAGATGAGCATACAGAGTAAGAGAGCAAGTAATTGTAATGTCAGAGGCCACCACTACCTGCTATATTCTGTTGCTTGTTCCCTTGTTTCCAAAGCCTTACGTGGCTAGCTGGGGCTGCCTGATGGGGTTGTGCTGTTGTGTTTCAGTGCGTGGCCGTTTTGAGTAGTCACAAACAAGTGAGACATTGCTCTGCTGAGATCCTCTGTTCCTGCAAACCAGTCACACATCATTTCCCCTCTTTCTTTTCCCCCACAGGAACTCATAGACTAAAACCCACGCAGCAGGCACGGGCCAGGAATTAACAGTTCAGGCTTTCTCCACAGCCTCCCACTCTGAGTAGACAACTACAAGACACGCAAGCCACTGGTGAGCACTGTCAAATGAGGATCTTGATAAAAGTAGCATCCAACTGCAGCCCTCCACCGGGATTTTCACAAGGAGCACAAAGCAAAGGCTGTATTAGTCCTGTAAGGCAGTGCTGGAACCCATAGTCCTTTTTCAGGTACCGTGCTCTTGAGAAAAAGTATCTGGTTCATTAGACGTACTACTACCAACAACGTAGCAGTAAGCAAACCAACTTGCCCAGCACTGAAACAACTCACAGCCTAGGCTGGACTTACCCCTAAGCCAGTATATACTTATACTAAGTAGTGGTTTCTCCTGACTAACAATCCCTTACGCAGTTTTTGGCTCCAACCCCAAAAGACAATTCAAATACCAGAGCTGTGGAGTTGGATTGCTGGGGCTACTGTCACACCAGGGGGCTCATCCTCTCTACCAGTGGCGGTGACAATTTGCTCATGCTTCAGAGAAGGCAGCTCACTCCCACTATGGAATTTGTCAGAAAGGCAAAACTTGAGATCCCAGTCTTGTCAGATTACCATTTTATACGCCAAAGCACAAAATGTAATTCCTCTTGTATCGTTGGCATGGCTGGAAATGTTATTAATCGATATAAAATTGTCCAGTGTTAAGAATCCTATCAGCTTTTTCTTAATTTCTTGAGGCAGAAAGTGGCATGGTATTTAGAAGAGATTATTGATTCCCAGTTGCTATTAAGGCAAGAGAGAGAGATCTGTGTTAAGTTAGCTCAGTTATAATTGAGTTCTGGGTTCATATTATTTCATATTTAAGAAACAGGGTTTTTTTCTTCCATCAATTCTTTGTTCCCCTGCACACTGATCAAAGCAAGTAAGTGCTTCTCACACAGCAAATCAGTTAGCTAGAGCTATTAAGAACACAAACAGATACCTTAAGGAAGAAGGACAAGAGATGCAACTTAGTATTTCCTTAACAACTAACATAACATGTTAAGTACCAATCTGTGAGGATTGCTGCTGGTCAGATAAATACCAAGCAGAAAAAGGAGACCTCAACAGTGTATATGAGTTTCAGGATGGATGCTCTGGAATCTGTTAATCATCATCACCTGGTCACAAGTGATGAATGAGTGAGGACTGCTAGACTGCTCCTAACACTGAGATGAGAGCCTGCCAGTCAAAGCTCGCAGATGCAGGTGTAGTTTACGTACCCCGTAGTAAAACGCATCTAATTCACAGACCTCTTCCTAGAACCTACAGAAAGGACTTTAGTCTGATGGTGAGCACAGCTCGGCCGGCATTTCCACTCTTGATGTGACACCTGGATACTAGACAGGAAGGAAATGCAGATCTGTTCTAATTTAGAAGAGTAAGATGCAATCCTCAGGTACTGACAAGTTATTAGTTCAGTCCTCATTGGAGTCATATTTTGGTGAACACACATATGAACTAGCCGAACAAGCTGGAAGATTCCAAATGGAAGTAAAATTAACCATTTCCTGCAAGATTTAAACAAAAAAAAAATGCAGATCATGTCACAATTCATTTGGCTTGAATGGAACCAAGGCAGACAAAGGTCTCTCAGCAAAGGCAGTGAGAGCTGGATGTTTCACAGCTCGTCTGCCCTGACAGTAATTTCAGGAGGGATTCCCACCTGGAAATATATTTGGAGAAGGCTCTGAGAACAAGCCCTGCTCCAGCTGCAGGGAGCCCACTTGTTTGCTCAAGTTCTTCCTGCTAAAACAAGCCACCGACACAATCAAACCATCTTACCTGTGTCAAACCCAAAACTTGGCACAATGTCCACTGTTCCATGAAAGGCTCCAGCCCATGCTGAGGTAGCACTGGTGACAGCAGCGGGATCTGTCTTTGTCATGTCACACTGGGGAGCAGGAATCCTGGCTGCGCGGACCGAAGGCATCAGCAGGGACCCGTACCGGGGGTCACGGTGCGAGCTGGGATGGTGATGGTGCATGTGTGGATGAGGGTGATGGCGATGCATGTACACGTCATGCATGTGTGCATACGAAGGGCTCACCTGAGATGCTAAAGGATAATGCCAGGATTCAGATGCAGCAGGGGGAGGAGGTGGGGCAGTCTGATGAAGGCCGTGTCCTGGCCAGCTGCTGGGATCTGGTGTTGGGAAGGTGCCTGGTGCAGTAACAGGGAAATCAGGGTGTACTCCACTTAAGCATGGTGGAGGAGGAGGCTGATAAGAGCTGGTCCAAAATGAAGTTGGGAAACTGCTCCTTTGGCTTGAAATTGTTGAGCTTTCTGGTAAAGGAGAGAAATGATGTATGACTGAAGCTGAACAACAAATTTACTAACAAAAACCCCACAATGATTTCCTGCTCTTTCAGATTTGTAACACTGAATTCAAGCTTCCCCAATAATTAGAGAATCACAGGACAGTTGACGTAGGAGGTGACCCTTTTGAGATCATCTAGTCCAATACTCCTGCTCAAGCGGGGTCACCTGGAGCAGGTTGTGCAGGACCATGTCCAGTCAGATTTCGACCAAGATCCAAGCTCCACAACCCCTCTGGGCAACCTGTTCCAGTGTTTGGCCACTCTCAATAATTAATAAAATAGAAGTATTTTTTTGTGTTCAGATGGAATTTCCTGTTTTCTAATTCATGCCTATTGCCTCTAATCCTGTAAGCAAGCACTGCTGAGGATACTCTAGCTCCTTTATCTCCATTCCCTCCCATCAGGTAGTTGCACACATTGATAAGATCCCCCCAAGAAGACTTCTCTTATCCAGGCTGAAGACTCACAGCCCTCTCAAGATCTTGGTGCAGGAATTATGAGGAGATGCTAACTCCTGAATAGACCAGAACATATCATTTAGAAAGGCAGCTGTTGTGGCTGTAAATGCTTCTGAGGACAGAGAACCAGGTCACGCTGCAGAATATGAGACATTTGGCTGAAAGGAAGAATCCTAGCTCTCAAACTAATTGCATGCTTTGATGGGATAAAGATCGTATCTAACACATCTTATGTTAGTCCCTTATAGAATGTATCACGTTTCCCTGTACCCAATAGGATCAGACAAGAAGAATCATCTATGCACTCAAAAGAAGTTTTTGTCAGAAATAAAAGACTTGCTGCTTCTTACAGCTAGGTCTCAACTTATATTTAAATGGATTCCAATACCTCTACATTATGAAATCACATTCTAAAAATTCCTCTTTTGAAGGAGCGGTTAGTGGTTTTGATGTGTAGGAAAGTATTGGCATCTCCATTCTCACAATCCTCTTGCCAGCTCATGTTTGAAAGTACTGCTTCATGCAATATGTCTCGGCTCAAATAGGGTTTTTTTAGTCAAAGATGGAAACATAAAAATACAGGACTTTACCTCTGATGAAAGAGCAGTCATAAAAATAGCCTACGGAGAACTAATGCCAGGGAAGTTTAATATTTGACGAGGTAAGGAAACCTCTGTTCCTCATATAACGTCTACAAAACTACTTATATTAATTTTTTTTTAAATGACCTTTTGTTTTGCTTTGTTTCACAAACAACTGGAACGAGACTTGGGTGAAGATACCATTGAGAATGAACATATTCTTCAAATGCTCCTACCTCTGAACTTTGCTTACACAAAAACATTTTGGAAGCAAAAACTGTAGAAGTGTTTTCTTAAAAAGATATTCATGTATCTGTTTTAAAATCCATTGAAATCATAGTAATTTTTCTGTACATCAATTAGCTTTGATTTAGGAAGTAAATGAGCCTTATTAACTTTCAATATGGGAAATAAACTTTGCAAACCCGCTACGGACGAACATAGAGCGCTTCTTTTTGTGCCAAACCCCTTTAGAGGCTGCAAGCTTATCTAGCAAACCGTACTCCAACATGGCTTTCTCCAAAAGGTTGCTTCTTTTTTTAGCAATGTATTTCTCTTGTAATTCATCTCAGAAGACTGGAGAGAGTTTTAAGCATATAACAGAAGCCTCAGCACCCCTCCAAAATTGGTACTGTGCCTTGTTTGTAAATTGTTCCTTGTTACAAAGGATTAGGCTAAAATAGAGAGGGTACATGGCTTACACTGTTGGCAGCAGGGCTGACAAAAAAAAAAAAAACAAAACCAAGCTTCTTCATGTCCAGTCTATTGTCTTCCTCATGGCTTAACAGAGGAGCACAGATTGACAATGCATTGCCAGTGTTTTGGAAAATTAATCTCTGTAAATCAAGAGGTTCTGGAAACTATCTGGCTGTTATCTACATGGAAAAGCCCTAAATTCAAACCATCTCACTTCAAAAAAACACAGAAAACCACAAAGTATCTGAAGGACAACTTTAATACCAGGAGAGAGCACTTTAAACCACTGGATTTGTCAATATGAATTCAATCCAGATTGCACACCAGCTTGGCTTTACCAAGCGTGCAGCAAGCCTAGGTCACAGCAAACATGTTTGGCCATCTCCATTTTTCAAACCTGTGCACATTTCACAAAGCCATTACCACTGTCAGAAATTGTCATGGACCAGCCCCCACCGAGACACCAGCTGAGTGTAACTGCAGAGACCAGCCTCACTGGTCAAGGTCAAGTCATGTCAGTGGAGATACAGAGTCCATCCAGGTTATATGAACATGCAAGAAAACTTCATATGCTCACAGAGGATGCTGCTAAATATTAAGTGTGCAGCAACCCCATCAACAAGAACCATCTCAGTGTTGAACCACAACTCTCAAGCACCACACATTTCCATGGTGTTTGAAAGGTCTCCTTTCCTTCTCACCTTTAAAACAGTGAGCACAACGAATTACCTTAACAGACACCATCATGTCAGATACTTGGCCTCTATGGGACACGGCAATGGAGAAACAGTCATTTCGGCACTGTCCTCAAGAAAGAAAAAAAATAATAATCTGCGCAGCTTCCACGGACTTTCAAGAGGGGGAAGGAGGCATTTAACAAAAACTGTCTGCCAAGATAGATACTACAGTTACCACAATTTCCTATCCTAAGTACAGAGAGGCAGGGAGATGGCTACATCTCAGATACCACGAAGTGGTGACTAATGCAAATGTTCATGGTGGTTGGCCAACGTGCTGAAAACACGCCAAAGCGCACATGCTGTAAAGAAGACAATGCATGGAATTTTCTGTAGTACAACATTACTTCTCAGTTAAAGCAGGAGGAAAAAAAATTACAAAACAAAAACCCAAGAAAGAAAAAAAACTAACACTTTCAGCTAGGAAAAATATGTTGATAAATACACCATTAAGGTAACATTAGTTTCAAGGTATCATTAGTTTCATTAGCCCCTGCAAAAGATTTTGGGTAGCTACACCTACAATTGAATATTCCAAGTCCATGTTACTGGAGCTTGTTGTAGGGAACTATATTTTATAAAAAGTCCGTTTTGAAGTTCATTTTAACCTAAACTTATCAGTATTTTCAACATACAAAGGACAAAAACTTGCTCTTTTCAGGACAACAGGTTCTATTTACTATACATAAGCAAAGCCTCTCCTAGAAACAAAAACCCCACAATATTATGTTAATAATAAAATTACAGTTTGCTCTTCCATCAGGACACTAAAAAAAGAAAATACACAACAAGATGAAAAAAAAAAAAGGCAGACAATTTTACCAATCCGTCCTTTCAGGTAAAGGAGAGATAACAGTGAGCTGAGGAGCTGAGTAGCTCTTTCAAGCCCACACACTTTCTATTTAAATCTGTACCTTCCAAAACAGCTATTGCAAATGCAAAAGCGCTTTTTTTTTAATTTATCTTTGAGTAATTTATTTACAAAAATTCTGACTTCCTGTGAAAGTTATTTATAAAAGATGTTAAAGCTAATGATATTTTAACTTCTTTAGGTAATGAGATACAAATTCACATCCATCTGCTGTAACTGAGCATCTTTGACAACTGTACATGAAACAGAAGACCAAGGTGTTAGCATCACTCCTTCCCCACTTTTTTCAAGCAGGCATGTTTCACAAACTCATTTGAGCCTGATAAAACTCTGGCCAGTTTCTCTCCTCTGGAGAAGCAGATACTCAGCTTTGTCAGTGACCACAGTGCAGAATCAAGCAGCCCTGCCCAGCAGCCTCCCTGGGGATCTTCACACTGCTTCAGCAGGTGCAGTGACGGCAGAGGCCATATCCCCTTACTTTATTCCCGGAAGAATTTCAGGACACGCAGACCTTCATTCCCCGCCGATGGCAGGGGCCACACCGGGTCAAGGAGGCAGCGTGGCTGAAGAACTCCTATGCCAGGCCACCCCATTCCCTGCAGAGTCCTTTGGGAAGGGCTGTGCAACCACAGGGCAGGCCAGGGAAAAACAGCAGGGTACATCTGGGGCCAAGCAGAAGACACACAACCCCATCCATGGTATGCCTCCAAGTTTGAGAAGAGGGCTTGCCTTAGGCATGGGGTCTCTGGGGACTGTCTTGATCCCATCTCTAAAACATTTATAGCCTGTCTAGGCCATTTATAAATGCTCCACTCTCCTTTTTAGTAAGCGTAGGTTCAATCCTGCTCAGTCGAGTTGACGGAAAATTCCCCATTAACGTTAACGGTCCCGGCTCAAGCCATAAATTCCTCTAGCTCCCTAGCCGCTTGTGCTGACCTTTGCTTAAACTTCCTCGGATTTGTCATCATCCTTCTGGAAAGCAAGTCCTTCTGTGCTATTTTTCTCTTCACAGTGGTTTCCAAAAATCCCGTCCCTCTCTATTATCTGTGACTTTCATCAATACACTCTCACCTCAGCATCGCCCATTACGAACACCACCACTCCTACCAGGATCCTCACAGTATCTCTCTCACCCAACACGCTGCACGGCCACTGGTCACGATACTTAGTTCGTGTCCCTTTTGCCAGTCCACATAAGGACACGATCAGAAATAATGCAGCTGTGGATCTGAAAAACTGCCCAGACAGCCACATTCAACAAAACGGAAATAGCGTCTTACCGGCAAACCTTCTCCAGTCACCAAGTTTGAGGGAAGGTCTACCGAGTTCATCTGGCAAGATCTGCTCTTTGTTACATTGCTCGTGCCCACACGCGTTACATGAGCGCTATGGCAGTATTCAAACGCCTCACAGCACCTTCCACGCGTCTACGCCTGGCTCAAAAGCAGAGTAACGCCATCCCCATTTTCCACACGGGAAGCCAGTAGCAATGGCTGTGTCTCTCCCGGGAGCTCCGACCCTGGGCAGGCTTCACGCACTGCGACACATGGCTGCAGCCACATAGGCCAGGGCTGGCACCTGAGCTTATTCCAGCCTGTGCTGGCTCCTCCCCAGCAGGAAAGCAGCCGCAGATAAATCACCTGGCAAAATCACCCGAGAAGGCTGCATGGGTCTCCTCGCATCCAAGGCCAGCATCCCAAACAGCTTTGCTCTTGCCTCTCAGGCCAAGTTTCACACTTGGAGCTTAAAAATAAGCCTCCAACCTTGCAGCAGATGCTTGTGAAGCCACGTGAGCTGTGACCCATTCGTTCCAGACCTTGGCAGAGCTGCAGGCTCTGCAAGAGAGGGAGATGCCTGCTTCTTCTGCGTCTTTGGCGCCTCTTTCCTGCTTTAACACTTCAGATCACTCAATCCCAAGAAGCTCCTCACCTCTTTCAAATTTAGGGAGGATTTTTCCACCTCCACAGAGGGGCAAAATTTTGGCTGTAATGCAATATGCGTTACCACGACACGGACCAAGAAAGCCACACCACGGAGAGCAAGTTACTGCTCCTCTTACCTCTCCACAGAGGACTTAGTGCTGCCTTGCTCTTGGTAAGGGCAGTTTCTGGATTGAAGCTACTGGCTTGGCTCAAAGCTCTTGAGAAGTGTTCATCCACTACTGAACCAATGTCTCCCTGGAAGTAAGTGAAAAGGACGCAGCGAGAGTTAAGGTACTCCATCTCGGCAGGCTGGTCTTTCTCATCCTCCTCTTGCTTGCTGGGAAGGGTCACTTCCAGAGACTCCTGCATCTTGTTGTATACAGTTAACTTCTTCTGGGATTAAAAACAAAATAAACAAGAAATGTATCACTGATGGCATTCAGGGCAAGCTCAGCATCCGGTTTCCTTAAAGAAAAATAACTGAATACACTGAATATTCATTTCATAATTACAGTTGGAATACAGGGATATTTTGCACCAGCATTTCACAAAGAAGGGACTACCAGCGCCACTTAGAGTTTTTATTCCTTGCACACAGATGGACCTGCTTCTCAGGCACATTTCACAACCACAATTTACTGGCAACGGCTTTTACTCAATACCTTCAACGGAAAACAGACAAACTCTAACAATTCTCTCCTGACTCCCACCTGGAAAGGATAATCCCATCAGTAAAGGGCTACAGAGGTCGAGTCCAGCCGCGCAGAAGGGTGGCCACATACACAACGTCTGCATTTCACCCGTCTAGCTGAACGTGCACCAGGTTTTGTCGGCTGTGCTCCCTAAATTGAGGCTACCTGGCCCTCTGGACTCCCCACATCTACTCAATGCTGAAGGCATAAAGATGGAAGAATTTGGTGATTCCTGAAAAATTTTCCACTGTATTATCAAAGTCCGCGAAATACATAAATTCTCACTGCCACGAAAATTTTTATCATAGGAAGCTATACCTTAGGGTGATGAGGAAGTGGAGGGGTTTTTTTTTTTGGTTAATTTGAGGCGGATTTTTGTTGTTTTGGGGTTGAGGTGTTTGGTTTGTTTTTTTTTCCCTTTTCCTTTTTATTTTTTAAATACCAGCTTTTGGAAAAAAGGACAAAAATTTAAGTCGTAACAAATTAAACATGTGATATGGGGGAAGAGAGGGATTGACAAGTCTGCAAACACATGCAAAAAAATCCACCCGAAACCAAAAACACAGAGAAGCATATTAAAAAAATAAAACCCGCACAAGCCATCTGTGAATGGCTATTTCAGAATCTTCTCTCTCTCAAATCAAGCCTAAATGTCAAAATAAATGTGTGTGAAGATCCATTCTGCATGGAACATATCTTTCAGATGTTCCACTTCACAACTGTGTCACAGAAAAAAAATCTCCCCACGATAGTCAAGCTGCAGGAATCATAGCTTTTAGCTAGCTAGCCATTTCCACATCTGACTTGACACACAAGCAGCTTCAGGAACCTAAAAACAACTACAGCACATATGTAGGAGTATTTCATAGCTTTTCTGTAGAATTATGGTTTGACTTCTCTTTTATGGTTTGCTTGGCAACACTTTAGCACCATCAGAATCTCTTTAAGTTTATGGCTTTTTTCCCTTTTTCCAAAGTTGTTCTAGAGAAAAAGTTAAACAACTACACAGTCTATAAAGTTCCATTTATACAATAAGTCTGCTTGTCTAAATTAGAAATAATTGAAAGTCATTTTCCGATCTTGTATGCCATCGATATATTTACATGCGGAGTTTTTTTAAAATTGTATAAACCAATACAAATTCTCCCATTGTGATACGAAACAAATACTCTGGGGCTGAGTCTTAATTATGAATGGCTATTTAAAAAAATAACTGTAAGAAAAAGCTGCTGACAATACCAAAAGCTCATAGCAATTAAGTGATGGATCTGTCATTACAGTAGGTTAAGTGATAAGTACAAATCAATTCAGTAATATCTTTAATTTCGATGCTGTTATATGAACTGCAATGAGTGATGTAAATAATTTTATTTTACAGTTTGGGATATTCAGATAATGGTCTGGAATTCAAGTAAATCTGTTCTTCACTTACAGTTTTATCCTGAGATCCTATAATACATAAAGAAAAACTGACAGATTCACATTAAAAAAAAAAAAATGAACAATGGAAATAGCAAATAAAAAGTTTTACTAGAAACTGATTGCTAAAATGGAACATAGTCTGAGGATTTGAAACTAATTTTTGCAAATGCAGAATTTGAGGCGGCCTATACATTTTTGTAAATGCTTTGTGCCTTCTGTAAACAAACAAAGAAAAAGCCTCCTAATATTTGTTCCTGAAATGCTTGCTAAGATATCACTTACAGCGACCTTCATGTTTTTCCCTAAGTAATCACAGAACGACAAGACCTTAGGAAGACAGAATGCTTATAATATTGCATACACAGGAGATACATGCTTTAGAAATCTGTAACACATCTACCTCAGTGACTTGATTGTTCTTAAAGATGCACCACAACCCAGATCCTCTTAGAAATGCAAGACGAGTGGTTGGGGAGGGTATTTTTTTCATTTTTGTTTTCGGCTGGGTTTTGTTTTTTACATAGAGACAAAGTAGAAAAGAGATCCTTTGGAGAAGTCTAAATAGATATTGATATATTACAACATCTCAGGTGCAGTGTATATGCCAGACCTTGAATACTTTAACAACACACTTTAAAAGTTGCGTTCGATCATTACAGGTACACTATTTGTACTTACACTGTGAGTATGCAAATACACATACAAGCATGCAATTATATACAGAAACACATCGTTTAATATAGCCCCTGGCTTGACTTAGTTATCAGGAAGGAAGTCTTTCAGTGTTCCTATATAGAGACTGGAGCTCAGGAAATTAAAACTTATCTCCAGAGTCGCTTCTCTGTGCAGGAATGTTCCCCCTTCCACAGCCTAAGAATCTAATTCATTTTCCATCTCAACTCTCTTCCCTTCCCTCCAGTCTGTGGATAGTCATTACAAGATAATCTGAGTACTTGCTGGTTTTGAAAATACCAAATCTGATTTTTTTCTTTTTTTTTTTTGAACTTAAAAAGAGATGGTAGTACTGATGGACAAGTACAAGGCCTTGTGTACAGACTGCAGTTATTTACAGTGAAAAGCTGTGGTTTGTGCTGAGTTTTTTTGCAAAGAATGAGAGTTCTAAATTAAAAGATTTTTCAAAACGGCATCAAGTCTGTGATCAGATACAGATCTACTTAATTTGTGTTTCAGGAAGAAATTATCAGCCTGTAATTATGAGACTCTTTAAATAAGAGACTACAGTGAGATGAAGTGACTCAAGTTTTCCTTGTATGCAGCGTATATACACCCTTTTCATTGTATACATCCTTTAATAATGCTTTTTCTCCCTCTAACTCCCTTAAAATACCCTGCCTGCACACAAATTCCATCTTACTTGTTCTGACCTTACCAGTGATCTTCTCATAGCATTTCTGACCACGCTTGTGTGAGTGGAAAAGCATGCAAGATCATCAACTGCTAAATGAATTTGTCCCACCACCGTGGCGGTGAGGGAGACGGGATGAAACAAAAGAAAAAACAGGTTAGGTTTCTGATAACTAATCTGGGCTAGCCCAGTTTCACTTGTACTTTTTGCATACAAACAGTTCTGGCATATATTTAAGCAGCCAACAGCATCTGTAATATCTTTATAGAGAGCATTTTCTGACCAAACACAACGTATTTCTTGCCTATGTTCAGATCTCTAATGCTTTCATATATTCATGAATTCCACCTCTCCCTTCCTTACAAACTAGAGACTGAGATTAAGCAGCCTCTGAAAAACAAAACAAAACAAACACACAGAATCTCATCTTGGCCAAGACCCAGAACACAGAATTAAAAGTCAGCTTAGCATACTGGGAAATAGGGAAATCCAGTGTCTACAGCACCTGATGCCACCTGAGATAACAGACTAAGTTTGTGACTGAAGGGTGAATGATACAACCTCTGGGTAAATAATGCTGTACAGCATGGGCTGAATTCAGCTTAAATCAACATTTTTGTTATTTCATATATTCACAAACAGGCTCTTCCAAAGAGAATTTAAACTCTTACTGTAAGTTGTCTAACAAAAGGAAACTAAAGGTCGATAACAAATCACCACTAATACGGCAATATTAAAGAGAAGGTTTATCCGGGATAAGCATCATTCTGTCTTCTGGAGGCAGAATGACTGCTTTTAGATCAAGAAAGCACATGGTCCAAAATCTCACAAAAAAACCTGTCTTGAAGATGCCTGTTATTTTCTGACATACCCTATCCAGAACCAAGCAAAATGGTTCTCATGCAGTGAAATTCTGGCCACATTAAAGCCAATGGCAAAAGTCCAACTGACTTCAAGGCTCCCAGATCTCACCCAGGGTGTCTGGTAAAAATGTCAGAGCATTCCTCTTCACAAGCTGAAAAAAATTCACTTCCAGCTGAAACCAGCTAGTAGGCAGCAAACCAGAAAAACAACCGAGCACAGTTGAGAAAGGAGAAAGTTTTAGTTTAGCCAAGTTTGAATCGAAAATTCAGGCCGGCTCTTATTTTACATATAAGCTGGTTGCCTGTTCCTCCAACTTATTATCTCCATACATGCCATCATACAGCATATGGTCCTTTATGCTCCCAAGCATGAAAGTCTGGTGTGCCTGTAGCCACCTGTTACAGATTTTCCATTATGAGAGAAAGAACAGGAACCAAAAATAAAGAGTAACTACTATTGAGGAAACACTATATGACCCTATCCTGAGAAAAAGGCTGTCATTCGACATAAGCTTCTGAGAAGGAATTTCAGCAACAAACTCGAGGCAAATCTCGGACAGTCCTCCATTTGTGGAGCTGTCTGCCAAGCAGGCTCCTATTGATAACACAGAAAGTATTCAAGGAAGAAGACGATTTCAAGCAATCAGAGCATGGAATGCTGGGCCTGAAAGCGGTATTTACGGCATGCCCTGAAAACTTGAAATCCTAACTTCTAGCCTCGCAAATGAGCAAGCCAAGAGCAAAGCCACATGCTTGCGTTCAGGTGAGCTCCTGGATTTGCAGCAGCAGAGCCTGGAGCTCCTGCTGTGCTCTGCTGATGGAGAGATGTGGTGGAAAAAGAATGAATTTATACATCTTTTGCTGTACATGTAAACAGAGGTGTACCATTAAAGTCTAAAGCTCTATTTTTACATAGATAGAGGAAGATCAAATAGAATTTGGTCCCAGTCAGAACAACAAAGTAAAGCAAGCTAAATTTTTTAAATCAGCAGCCTCTTGTGGGATTAAACAAAACAAACCAAACCAACAAAAGCCCCCACACAGGGCAAA